TACCGTTTTTGTTTGTATGTAATTTATTTGTCTTCTATTATTATATCCCTTTTTGTTTGGCTTTTCTACCTTATTAAGTGTTACGTGGTTTTGAGTTTGAAATTTTATTTTTATTGTATTAGGCCTGTACTGCTCTACATTTACATCTTAAACCTCCTTTTTCTGCATCCCGAGGAATTTGGACTGTAACGCTTACTTTTTATTTGCTACCATGTATTTTATTTATTTATTTAATTTTCCCCTTAATAGTTTATTGTCAATTTGGTTTACATATAAGTACGAGTGCTCATCCACATTAGTGCCCTCCTCCATGCGAATCACCCCCTTTCCCTTTTCCCACAGCCCTCAAGCCCTCGGTTTGTTCTCAGCATTCAAGAGTGTCTCATGGTTTACCTCCCTATATCGTTTACTTCTACCCTTATTTTTATTATTTTGCTTCTCCTACTGGGTATGGCAGCACATAAACGTATAAACAATTAATCACAAACAGAATCAATCTTATGGATAAGAATGTGCTAATAGCTGGGGACTTTATTATTCCACTTACAGCAATGAATACATCAAAGAAAGAAATCACTAATGAAAAAATGGACTTAAATGACACATTGGACCATATGGATCTGAGTGATATATATAGAACTCCACATCCTGACGCCACGTAATTCACTTTCTTCTCATGTGCGCATGGCACATTCTCCAAGATAGATCACATACTGGGACATAACGAAGCCCTCAAGAAATATAGAAGAATTGAGATCATACCATGCATACTTTCAGATCAAAATGCTATGAAAGTTGAAATCAGTCGCAGGAAGAAGTCTGGAAAACCTCCAAGAACATGGAGGTTAAAGAACACCCTACTAAAGAACAAATGGGCCAATCAGGCAATTAGAAAGAAATTAGAAAACATATGGAAACAAATGAAATCGAAAATAAAACAATCTAAACTCTATGGGATGTGACGAAGGCAGTCCTAAGAGGAAAGTACATTGCACTCCAGGCCTATTTCAGGAAATTAGAAGAAACGCAAGTCCAAAATCTAACAGCTCACCTAAACGAACTAGAGGGAGACAACAGGAGGACCCCAAACCCAATAGGAGAAGAGAAATAATAAAAATCAGGGCAGAAGTAAACAATATAGACACCAAACAGATAGTTGAACAGATCAATGAAACCAAGAGTTGGTTTTTTTGAAAAAAGAAACAAAATTGACAAACTTGAAGCCAGGCTTCTCAAAAAGAAAAGAAGGAGCACTCAAATAGACAAAATCATGAATGAAAAAGGACTTATTACACCCAACCCCTCAGAAATACAAGCAATTATCAGGGAATACTATGAAAAATTATATGCCAACTAATTGGACAACTTAGAAGAAATGGACAAATTCCTATACAAACACATTCTACCAAAATTCACATGCGAAAAGATAGAAAATCTGAAGAGACCCATAGCTGGTGAGGAAATCGAATCAATTATCATAAATCTCCCAACAAATAAGAGCCCTGGGCCAGATGGAGTCCCTGGGGAATTAGACCAGACATGTGAAACAGAATTAATACCCATTCTTCTAAGCCTATTCCAAAAAATAGAAATCAAAGGAAAACTTCCGGACTCATTTTATGAAGCAAGCATCACTTTGATTCCCAAGCCAGACAGAGACCCAGAAAAAAAAGAGAACTACAGGCCAATATCCATGATGAATACGGATGCAAAAATTCTCAACAAGATACTTGAAAATCGTATTCAACAGCACTTAAAGAATTATCCACCATGATCAAGTGGGATTCATTCCAGGGTTAAAGAGCTGGTTCAGTATTCACGAATCTGTTAATGTGATACATCACATCAACAAAAGAAAAGATAAACCATATGATCCTGTCGATAGATGCAAAAAAAAAAAAAACATTTGACAAGATACAGCATCCCTTCTTAATAAAGACCCTCAAGAAAGTCACAAAAAAGGAACTTACTTCAACATCATAAAAGGCATCTATGAGAAGCCCTCAGTTAACTTCATCTTCAACGGGGAAAACCTAGGAGCTTTCCCCCTGACATCAGGAACACGACAGGGTCTCTGTATGGCTTGGGAATCAAATTGATGCTGGCTTCAGAAAATGAGTCCAGAAGTTTTCCTTCTATTTCCATTTTCTGGAATAGCTTGAGAAGAATGGGTGTTAATTCTGTTTTAAATGTCTGGTAGAATTCTCCAGGGAAGCCATCTGGCCCAGGGCTCTTATTTGTTGGGAGATGTTTGATAACTGAGTCAATTTCCTCAATGGTTATGGTTCTGTTCAGGTTTTCAATCTCTTCCGGTGTGAATTTTGGTAGTGAGTGTGAGTTTAGGAATTTGCCCATTTCTTCTAAGTTGTCCAGTTTTTTGTCATATACTTTCATAGTATTCCCTGATGATTGCTTGTATTTCTGAGAGGCTGGTTGTAATCAGTCCATTTTCATTCATGATTTTGTCTAATTGAGTGCTCCTTCTTTTGTTTTTGAGAAGCCTGGCTAGCGGTTTGTCAATTTTGTTTACTTTTTTAAAAAACCAACTCTTGGTTCCATTGATCTGTTCAATTGTTTCTTTGGTCTCTATGTTGTTTATTTCTGCTCTAATTTTTACTATTTCTCTTCTTCTACTAGGTTTGGGGTGCTCTTGTTGATCTGCCTCTAATTCCTTTTGGTGAGCTGTTGGATTTTGCAGTTGCAAAAAAGTTTTTCTAATAATTGAAAATTATTTCTAATAAGTTGAAATAGGCCTGTCGTGCAATGTACTTTCCTCCTAGACTGCCTTTGCCTCATCCCATAAAATTTGGATTGTTGTATTTTCATATTCATTTTTTGGCATATATTTTTAAATTTCTTCTGTAATTGCCTGATTGGCTCGTTCATTCTTTAGTAGGGTGTTCTTTAACCTCCATGTTTTTGGAGGTTTTCCAGAATTCTTCCTATGATTGATTTCAAGTTTCAAAGCATTTTGATCTGAAAGTGTACAGGGTATGATCTCAATTCTTTTATGCTTATTAAGAGCTACTTTATGTCCCATTATGTGATCTATCTTGGAGAATGTGCCATGCGCACTTGAAAAGAAAGTGAATTCCCTGGCCTCAGGATGTAGAGATCTGAATATATCTGTCAGATCTATCTGGTCCAATGTGTCATTCAAGTTTATTGTTTCTTTAGTGATTTTCTATCTGGTTGATCTATCCATTGCTGTTAGTTGAGTATTAAAGTCCCCTGCTGTTAGCACATACTTGTCTATAAGATTGTTTCTGTTTGTGATTGTTTTAAATATTTAGGTGCTCCCATTTTCGGTGCATAGACATTTATGATTGTTAGTTCTTCCTGATGGATAGACCCTGTATTATTATGTAATGCCCTTCTACATCCCTTGTTATTGTCTTTAATTTAGAGTCCAGTTTGTCCTATATAAGTATAGCTACTCCAGCTTTCTTTTGACTACCTGTAGCATGATAGATATTTTCCATCCTCTTACTTTTAATCTGAAGGTATCTTCCAGTCTAAAATACGTTTCTTGTATACAGCAAATAGGTGGATTTTGGTTTTTTATCCATTCTGCTACCCTATGTCTTTTGATTGGAGCATTCAGCACATTTACATTCAGTGTTATTATTGAAATATGTGGGTTTAGAGTCATTATGTTCTTTGTGGGATTCATGCTTGTGGTGGTGACTCTGGTATCTTTGTTCCTTGCAACACTTCCCTCAGAGATTCCCCATTAGGATTTCTTGTCAGGCTGCTTTAGTTGTGAGAAATTCTTTCAATGTTTGTTTATTTGGAATGACTTAGATCTCTCCTTCTATTCTGAATACAGCGTTGCTGGATAGAGGATTCTTGGCTGCGTATTTTTTCCGTTAGTCACATTGAAGGTCTCCTTCCATTCCTTTCTGCCCTGCCAAGTTTCATTAGATAGGTTGGTCACCACTCTGATAGGTTTCCCTTTGTATGTTAGGGCCCTTTTCTCCCTAGCTGCTTTCAATATTCTCTCTTTGTCCTTATAGTTTGCCAGTTTCCCTATGATATGTCGTGCAGGAGATCGATTCAAGTTACATCTGAGGGGAGTTCTCTGTGCCTCTTGAATTCATCTTCTACTTCCCTCCCCAGGTCGGGGAAGTTCTCTGCTATAATTTGTTCCAGGACTCCTTCAGCATCTTTCCCTCTCTTTTCCTCTTCTGGAATTCCTATGATACAGATACTGTTCCGTTTGATTGTATCGCCGAGCTCTCGAACTCTTCTTTCATGTTCCTGGATCAGCTTCCCTCTCTTCTTTCAGTTTCTTCTTTTTCTATAAGAGTCTTCTAAATCACTTATTCTACTTTCTGCCTCTTCGATCCGTGCATTGGACGCCTCAAGTTCATTTTTTATCTCATTTATCCCAATTTTTAAGTCATTTTTTAAAATGTTTTTTTATTTATTCTGAGAGAGAGAGAAGACAGCATGAGCAGGGGAGGGTCAGAGAGAGAGGGAGACACAGAATCTGAAACAGGCTCCAGGCTCCGAACTAGCTGTCAGCACAGAGCCAACGTAGGACTCAAACCCACGAACCGTGAGATCATGACCTGAGCCAAAGTCGGACGCTCAACCAACTGAGCCACCCAGGCGCCCCCACCATAACTATTTTTAAGCTCCATGTTGTTTGTATCCATAGTTTCTCTGATGTCTTCCATGCTTTTTTCAATCTTGGCGATTAATTTTATGATTATTGTTCTAAATTCTTGTCATGTTATGTTGCTTATATCTGTTTTGAGCAGTTCTCTAGCTGTCATTTCTTCCTGGAGTTTCTTTGGAGGAGAGTTCTTCCGTTTCGTCGTTTTCTTTAGCTCTCTGTCTCTTGTTACTTTTAAAATCTTGTTTTACACCTGGCCCCTGCGATCTGCTTTATTTGAGAGGTCTCTTTTGACTGTTCAGGTCCTGTCTCTTCAGAAAGTGTTCTTTGGATGGTGTCTTTTGGTTTCTCTTATTGAGTGTTTGGTTATTTTGTTTCTCTACTGGTAGTCGTATTTGGGACTCTCCACCATGTTAGTTTGGCTTGTTACTTGAGGCATCCCTGGAAAAAGAGAACAGACAACGACAGAGGGAACACAGGTATACAACGCACAGACAAAACCAATAAACACACAAACCCAGGCTCAGGTAATAACAGCTACAACAACAACAAAACAGCTATCTGGAGGGGATGGGCGTGCTTTAGTGTAGGCAGGTCTTGTCTCCACTGTGTCGGCTGGCCTCCCTGAGGCCCCTCCTTGGTGGTTGTGGGGAGAAGAATGGCGTCGCCCCAGTCCCTTCTCAACCAAGCCTTGCAAATCACTTCTTCGGTTGGATCTCCCTGTGCTGAGGATGTAGCGAAGGTGGGCTGAGTTCTATGCCCCATGCCCTGCCTGTTTCCAGGGCCCAGTCCGCGGGCTTTGTTATACTGATCTGAACAGTCCTGCAGGTCGCTGCTTCCTTGTTGCCTGGTGTTTTAGTTGGGAGTGGGGGGAGTGTCACAGCCTCATATCCACCGGGGTCAAGCAGGAATACAACCCAAGTGAGATTGGGCAACGTAGCAACTTCAGGTCCATAGAGTCCGAGTCGTTGCAGCGCGCCGCCGCTGCTTCAGAGGGCGACTGTTGCACGCCGCTGCCACTATACCGGGCGCTGGTACTGCTTCTGTGGGTCGCCGCCTCCGCCGCCGCCTCAGCAGGCCGCTGTTGCTCGCGCAGCCTCAGCCTCACCGGCGCCAGGACCGCCTCCGCAGGCGTTGCTGCCGGTTCACAGGGCCGCCGCCAACATGGATGGTGCTGGGCTCAAGGCAGTTCAGTTTTTCCCGCGCCTTCTGGGACCAGGGCACCTGGTTTAAAGTCAGCACCCCAGCCAGAGCTAAAATCACTGTATTTCCATGCTGAAGTTTTTTCTCCTCTCCAGGGACAGTTCTATGAGCAATCTCAGCTTTTCTTTCCTTCCCCTGGACTCGCAGCTGCTCGCCACCACTCGCAGGTTTATCACTCACCGCAGCTGCACGCAAGCCGGGTGCCCTCCCCTCACTCCATGTCATTGGGTCCCGTCCCGCCTTTATCTTCCCCAGTTCGCACTCACACACTTGTGAGGTGTCCTTCCCAGTGTGCTCTGTCTCTTTCTCTTCCCAAACTCCTGTGGCTCAGTGTCCTACGACTCCAGGCCTTCTCTGTTTGAGAGATGGGTGCAGGCGAAATGTACGGAGCTCCCTACTTCTCCACCATCTTGCCTCCTCCTTGGCTGCATATTTTTCAAAAGAGCATATGGAGGACATGGTGCCACTCCCTTCCTGCCTGCAGGTTTCTATGTGACATCTGCCACAATTTTTTTCTTCCCTAGTTAGTCAGAGACCTCTTTTGTCTTTCTGCTTTTAGGATTTTTTTCCTTACATGTATATTTTGCCAAATTTCCTATGAAGATATCTCCATGTTGACCTGCTTTTGTTGATTCTGGTGGAAGGACTCCTGGGTGTGGACGTCCATTTCCTACCGCAGTTTGGGAAATTTTTCTACTATAATTCCCTCAGATAAACCTTCTGCTCCTTTTTATCCAAATTTTTTTGTGACTCATTTGAAAAGAATGTTACTACACTTTATGGAGTTGCTGACTTCCCTAAGTCTACATTTGTGATCCAATATTTTAATTTTCCTCTACTTTCCTGCTTCATTTATCTCCCTAATTTAATCTTCTATATCACTTATTTGCTCCTCTGCCTCTTCTATCCCCGATATTCTTATTTACACTCATTTTTGATTCTTGGTTCAGTATTTTTTCAATTTCATCCTAAGTTTTAAATATTTTCTATCTGCAGTAATGGTATCCCTCATAGCTTCTATGCTCTTTTCAAGAAAATCTATGGTTTCAGGCATACTACTTATATGTCTTGTGTTTAAATTCCTGGCAATGAGCTTTAATGTTTTTTTTCCTTTGAGATGAAGTCCTCCATCCTGGCATATGTTGATGTTTTTGCCTTCTTCCGTGTTTTAGAAAGTCCTGTTATGTTTTCTGCTTCTAGAATCGTGGCTTATTAAGAAGAGGTCACCTACTTTCCAGGTGCTGACTCTTCAGAAAACATATCTTGTGTGTGCTGTGTGCACTGTACTGTTGTGTGTTGGCTGCCCTTTCCCTCAGGCCATTCCTCTGCAGAGTTTCATCTTGCCCACAGTGACGAGTGTTTGGACCTTGTCCCCTGTGTGGTGAGTTTTAACTTCGTGTGTGTTGGCCACCAAAGAGACTGGATCCTTGAGTACCTGGGTGTCTCATTCAGTTAGTGTCTGATTTTCGCTCAGGTCATGATCTTGTGGTTTGTGAGTTAGAATCCCACATCAGGCTCTGTGCTCCAGGTCAGAGCATGGATCCTGATTTGAATTCTGTGTCTCCTTATCTCTCTGCCCCTCCCCTGTTCACACTTTGTCTCTCTCTCTCTCTCTTTCAAAAATACAATAAATGTAAAAAGAGGCTAGATCCTATCTCCCCTAGCGCTGAATCTATGATGTATTCTATGGTTAGTAGACTTGGTGAGTGTGGGAGTTTGTGCTGGTCTTCTGGGAAGACGTTTTCAGTCACACCTAACCGGATAACGAAGCACCTGAGGAGAGTAGGGTTCAGGGGTTTGATGTTAAAAGCTCAAGATTCCATGGTGGGCTCTGTGCTACTCAGTGACGTCTGTCCATGCTGTTGGTCAGGGGAAGTATTAGCAGCAGCCCATTGTTTCATTCTTGGAGAGGGGTTTCCCATTGACCCCGTTCAGGAAGTTTTCAGTGAAGAGAGAACAATCTTTCATGAGTCCCAGGCCTCTGTCAGCGCCCTACCCTCACCTTGTATGTGTCTTAAGCATCTGTCCATCTGGTGGCATGTCGTTCCTGCATTTTCTCTCAGGAGACTTAGCTGGGTGTGAAAACAACCACTGTAGGGAAGCACTGTGGCATGTGCCCTCTTATCCGCAGGGGGAGAGTATTGTGGCACTGCGGTCGATGTGGGATTGTCCCCGAAGGGCAGCTGCATGAACACCAGAGGGCTTGGCCTTCATGGGGAAGAACAGCAAAAAGCTGTCAGTCAGGTATCTGACTTCAGCAGAGGCTCCCGTGCAAAGAACCAGGCGGCGCAAGGCACTCGCAGGCTCTCCTGTCCCGTGAGAGGCAGTGCGACTCCTCCCAAATGCACTATAGGAAGGGGGCTGCCTCCCTCCCTGCGACCCAGAGAATCTCAGACCACTGTTCACTCACAGGCCTCTGCCCACCTCTTCACAGGAGCACCACGACGCCCACCAGGCTACACCCAGTGATGCCATGGACTTCTACATCTTCAGTCTTTGAGATCCACATTTATGGGAGGTTGAGTTGTCCTTATTAACTTTATGCGTCATTTTGACTGTGTCACGGCTGCCCAGATTAACCACTGTTTCTGTGGATGTCTGTGAGTGTGTTTCCAGAAGAGAATGACATGGTTTCTGTTTAAATGGGCATCATCCATTCCATTGAGGCTCTAAATAGAGTTAAATGTAGAGGGATGAAGACTTAAGCTCATTTTTACTTCTTGTGTGCATGCCTGGGCTGGGACATTGATCTCCTCCTACCCTTGGACTGAGAGATACACCATCAGGTCTCCATGTGTCAGACTAGACACTAGTTCAGAATCAGACAATAATTGCACCATTGATTTTCCTGTTATTCTAGCTTATTTATGATTGCAGATCATGGGACGTCTTAGACTATAGAGTCATGTAATCCAATGTGCTATGTATTCCGTGCCTCAGGAGAACCTTGACTAATGTATGGAGATGCTATTGTATTTAAACAAAGCTGAAACTCATTTAAAGTCCTGAGCATCAATGGGCCATGAAGAAAGTGTCATGTTCTTGGGACAAAGCTGGGTGAGGATATTGAGGAGCTATGGGATCCTGTGGTTTTACCTGCAAAGTCAGTGAATCCTGGACTCCTGTAAAAGTTCAGTTGATGTGTCTCAGGGTATATGTAATTCATTTGTATTTAGAAACAGGAGGAAGCAACTGCAAGCAACTCTGTATTTTGTGCATGTTAACTAGTTTTCCTAGGACAACAAAGTTTCTAATACAGAGAGTGAATAGGTAAGCACAGAATCATGTGTCCAGACACGCTCCCTGGGGGAAACTGCTGAATGGAGAGGAAACCCTAGACCCTGACAGGAAACCTGCCTATAACCTCCATCTGCACCTGCTCCTGGGAATATAAACCAGAACTGTGCATAGTGTGCGCCCCCTGGTGGTGCTGATCCCCTTCTACAGGGAGGTTTGTGTCTGGGCTCACACTGATGGACCTTCACTGTGTCCTTCGCACAGAAATACGTGGCCGTGTCCTCGGCTTTCAGGTTGTTCATCTGCAGAGCCACTGTGTTCTTGGCGTTGTCTCTGGAGATGGTGAATCGGCCCTTCACGGAGTCTGCATAGTATGTGCTTCCACTACTACTAATACCGGAGACCCACTCCAGCCCCTTCCCTGGAGCCTGGCGGACCCAGCTCATGCCGTAGCTACTGAAGGTGAATCCGGAGGCTGCACAGGAGAGTGTCAGGGACCCTCCAGGCTTCACCAGGCCTCCCCCAGACTCCACCAGCTGCACGTCACACTGGACACCTGTAGACACAAGACATGCTGGTCAGGAAACTGTCACACATCCACCATTTCTCTCATTCATATCCACTTATATACTCAGTGTCTCTTGTTCACTACGAATTACCTTTTAAAACAGCAGCAAGGAAAACCCAGCCAAGCACAAACTCCATGGTGAGATGCCTGTGTTCTCTCTTGTCACCCAATGGGGACACCTGGGAATCCTGGGTCTGGGCTCCTCTCCCAGCTGCAGGGTCAGGGCTGGTTTGTTTTAATAAGGAAATGCAGGGCCCCATTTGCATGTATTCTAAGTATAAATACATTTCCAAACTTAGATTTGATTCTTTAAAATTTAAAAACATGGTTAGAGAGGCACATTTAGATCACTCTGTGAAGATGGCACTATGACAGTACGAAGAATGTGCATCTGTGAACATAGTCATATTTGCAAGCATGTGTGTAATTTTAAATGTGTTTAATCAACATGGGTAATTTTGAGAATACATGTATTTTACATGCTTTTTGAGGTTTAATCCAAAATACGTTTTTATATACCATTTTGAATGGTATGATTTTGTTATTTCTTTGCATATAATTTATACTGGTGTGTATAATCAGAGTTGTTTTTTCTTTATTTTGTATCCTGAACTTTTTCTCTTTTTTTAAAATAGTGCTGATATTTGTTGTGACATAGTTACGGTTCTACAATGCTTAAGGCCATGTATTATACAAGCAAATAACTTTTCTTCCTTCTAACTGATCTAAATGCCTTTTATTTCTTTTTTATGCCTGATTTTTCTGGGACATCTGCCAGTTGTAGGAGAGGAAGATTTTTTCTTCTTTGTTTCTTGTTTTTTATCCTGTTCTAATAATTCAATTCACATAAGACATCTACAGGACAGAATAAATTTCATTTTATATGTGCGTGAGTTTCCAAATTGTATTACATCCAGGGAATGAACAAAGGAGGCTTCATTTGTGACTTTCAGACAACAAGAAATTGAATTTGTAAAGAATTAAAGCAAAGGTGTGGTTTTTGGGTAGTAATTATTCACCAGGTAACAAGGTTTCTTTGCACAACCTTCTTGGCCCTAAAATTCCTATTCCAGTGCTAAGGATGGTTCTTTCCTATGACAGAGGGATGGGAGTTTTCCTGAGGGAGGTTTCTTTCCTGCTGTCAGGGGGGAAAGGAGTGTCAAAGTGTCCTTGCACTGGCTGTTTCCCAAAGGACTTTCATCCAAATAAGCAATGTGACGAGATGGCATATTTTGGGGTGGCATATTTTATTCTCCTTCGTGCTACCACATTGAATACTTATTCTGGGAATGATCACCCTTCCTTGACTCCAGACTTGACAGTAATGGCTTCAGTATTTTACTGTTGACTATGGTGCCAGGTGTGGGCTTTTCATAATGGCCGTGATTATGTGAAGGTGATTTCCTTCTGTTCATTTTTTATGAGTTGTTTTTAAATGATAAAAGTTTTTATGCCATTGAGGATAGTGTAGATTCAATCATTCTCTCTATTAATGTAGGGCATCACCTTTATACATTTGTGTATGTGGGAGGATCCTTGCGTCTCAGGGATGAATCACACTAGGTTATCATGTATGGCCCCTTCAATGTACTGCTGAATTCAGTATGTTCAGATTTTGTCAAAGTATTTTGCATATATTTTCATTTAAGATATTGGCCTGTAATTTCTTTTCTTATGGTGTTGTTAGCTTTGGTGTGAGAATAATGCAGTCCTTATAAAATGCATTTGGAGTGTTCTTTTTCATCAGTGGTTGGTAATAGTTTGAGAAGTAATGTCATTAATTCCTCTTTAAATTTCTTGTTGGTAGGATTGGTAATAAAGCCATGAAACCCTGGGCTTTATTATTACCATATTTTGAAGGTGAAGGTTTTAGATCAAAGATTCGGTCTTCTTACTAATTTTGTTTTGTTCATTTTGTATGTTTTTATGAAAGTCATGGTGGATTTCGTAATTCTAGAAAATATGTCATTTGTTCTTGGTGATCTAATTGTTGGCCTATAAATATCTAAGATTTTCTTTTATGATCCTTTTCATGTCTTTAGTTCAGTTATGCCTCCTCCTTCCGTTCTGATTGTATTTGTTTGAGTCTTCTCTATTTCTCTAGGCTACCTATGCTTTTAAAATTTCATATTGTTTCCCAAATACAAGTTTTAATGTAGTTGACTTGTTTTGTGTATTTGTAGTAGTCTTTATTTTTCTCTGCTTTATCTTTTTATGTAATTGAGTCAAAAATACCAATGACTTTATTAAAGGATTCTGTAAAATATGTTAATTCATATGGAGTCACAGAACACATGGAAATACAAAAACAATCATGAAGAGGAGCGAACCTGGAGATACCACACTTCTTTCTTTCTAATATATTGCAGAGGTACTTTAGCTACAACAGTGTTCTGCTGTCATACAGGGAGACATATAGACAAGTTGAGCAGATTAGAAAGCACAGAATTAAAACTATGTAGATGCAATCAGCAAGTTTTCCACTAGAGTTTCAACAATACACAATGGGGAAACGATAGTTTATTATAATTGTATTGATATCTACTTACAGAATAATGGCATTTTGCCATAATCTTACATCATACATACACGTAGACACGGAGAAACTGAAAGTGGATCAAAGATTTAGCAGAACACCTGACCCTAAGAGTATTACAAGAAAACAGAAAGGATAAACCTTATGACATTCACTGGACAATTATTTATTTTATATAAAAGAAAAATCACAGGGGCAAAACAAGGGCAGACAAGTGGGACTACATCAAACTCGAAAGTGTGCAGAGGGGCGCCTGGGTGGCTTAGTCGGTTAAGCGTCCGACTTTCGCTTAGGTCATGATCTCGCGGTTCGTGGATTCGAGCCCCGCGTCGGGCTCTGTGCTGACTGCCAGCTCAGAGCCTGGAACCTGTTTCAGTCTGTGTCTCCCTCTCTCTCTGACCCTCCCTTGCTCACGCTGTCTCTCTCTCTCTCTCCCCTAGAAATAAATTAAAGATATTTTTTTTTAAAGAAAAGGAAGTGTGCAGAGCAAATGTTAGCAGAGAAGGAAGGCAGTGTATGAATTGGGAGACATTACATGAAAAAATATTGAAAAGTTGTTAATATCCAAAATATGTAAAGGACTCCTTAATGTTAGTAGCAAAAATATAAAAAATATAACAATAACAGTAAACGAATACCCTGATTAATATTAGGGCTAAGCATGTCAATATCCATTTCTCTACAAAAGACAGACAAATGTCCATCAACCACGTGACTCGATGTTCAACATCTTTAATCATCAGAGAAATCCACGTCCAAACCACTGAGATATCACCTCTCAGCAGTAATCAAGGCTATATAAAGTGAAACCAAACACAATGAGAACATATCACGTGTTGGTGAAGATGTGAAGGACAGGTAACCCTGGAAATGCTCTCGATGGGAGTGCAACTACTACTGAAAATATTGTGGTGAAAATAACCTACTAAACAGATTCCAAATCTGTTCTAATATAGCTGACTTCATTTCTAGCTAAGTGTGAGGGGGGTCTGGGCCTCATGTTGTGGGGAGAGGCAGGTGCAGCGACAGGTGGATTCAGTGGAGGATTCCTAACTACTCCAGGAGAATAGAAACCTGGTTACAAATAGTGTAAGACCGGATTCAGTGTAAACATTGATAGTGGTGCCTCTCCACTGGTTGTCTATGGCTTCCTGACCTGGATGGAGAGCAAAAACGGTGAAGTGTAGAAACAACTCTTTTCTCTCACAGGAGCATGGAGATACTGAATATCCTTGAGGGAGTATCATGGAGCTGATGGAGATGTTGTGAGGTTTCGACAACCACAAGGGCCATTATTCATGGTCTTCCTCCTTCATAGGTATCAAAGGAAAACCTTAAAGAAGATAATAGAGACAGAATTTGCTCAAATAAATTAAATTTAGAACACTTGATATGAGTCAGTCTTCTGTGTTTGAACATTATACATTTAAAAATGATATTCGGTGGCTTAGTCGGTTAAGCGTCCGACTTTCGCTCAGGTCATGATCTCGCGGTTCGTGGGTTCGAGCCCCGCGTCGGGCTCTGTGCTGACTGCCGGCTCAGAGCCTGGAGCCTGTTTCAGTCTGTGACTCCTTCTCTCTCTGACCCTCACCTGCTCACGCTGTCTCTCTCTCTCTCTCTCCTAGAAATAAATAAAAAAACATTAAAAAATTTTAAAAAATAAAATAAAATAAAAATGATATTCAAGGGCACCTGGGTGGCTCAGTCGGTTAAGCGTCTGACCTCAGCTCAGGTCATGATCTAGTGGTTTGTGATTTTGAGTCCTGCATCGGGCTCTGTGCTGACAGCTCAGAGCCTGGAGCATGGTTCGGATCCTGTGTTTACCCTCCTTTCTGCCCCTCCCGTGATAATGCTATGCCTTTCTTTCCCAAAATAAATAAATATTCTTTAAATGGTATCTAGTGTCCTTGTAAATGCAGAGATGCCATGGTCTGATTCTATGAGCTGATTTATCACAGCACTTGGTCTCTGTCAAGGAAGGCACGACTGTTATAACCTTTCCCACTTAACATGAGAAGTCATCTATGTTTGTAAATGTTTAAAAAAAAAAAACGTTCGTACTGATTACTGTTCAGGATGAATTTTGCAGAACATGATGATAAAGATGCTCCACAAGAAACTGACCATGAAACACTACTGATTCTGGATATAAGCTGTGAGGTCTCAGGTGCCCCTGGTGACCTGTATGTGCCATGGTGTCTTGAATGCTGCATGGTTTCCTTAGCTCTCCCGGATGTCTCGAGTGCATCTGGTGACCTGTGTGCTTCTGGTGAACTGAGCGCCACCAGGGGATCTGAGTGTCCCCTGGTGACCTGAATGTCCCCTGGAGACCTGAGCATTCCCTGGAGATCTGAGAGCCCCGTGCAGACCTGAGCGGCTCCAGGATACCTGAATGTCCCATGGTGTCCTGAATTCCACGTGGTATCTTTAACTCCTCATATTTTCCTGAGCTCTCTGGTGAACTTAGCATCCTCTGGTGACTTTTAGGTAACCCTAAGGGTAATTGCACCACTTATGTGTAAGCTTGGTTCTTTAAAATCCCTTGTGACTTAAAAAAAATTTTTTTTAATTATTTATTTATTTATTTTCCTTTATAATTTATTGTCAGGTTGATTTCCATATAACACCCAGTGCTCATCCCCACAAGTGCCCTCCTTCATGATCAT